TATATATATATATATAAGTTAATTTATTAAAATTAAAAGTTAATTTACTCAACTCTGCTTATAATTATAATTTGTCACAGAATTATAATATTTTATTTATTATTATACTTACATTGATTACATTTTAGAATTTCAAATTTATGAAATATTCGGTATTTGATATTTAAAATATCAAAAATTTTTAATATTATTTGAATTATATTATCATTGTAGATAGAGAGAGAAGCGCACACTTTCTTTCTTTCTCTCTCTTTCTCTCTCCAGTACATACTTCCTACGATTTCATATGGAAAGCCCGCGTAATTAAGGTAATTGAATTAAATTTTGACGGTGATTCGCAAGAAGACGATGTATTTTTTAATGCGATCTTTATCCGCCCGCGATTTCGATCAGAGTCTAATTTAAGGCTTAAGAACCCGAGCGACAGTTTGTTCTTTTTGGGCCATATTTTTGGGCCGTGGTCCCGCAGACGGTCGCTCGTCATCTGTCAGGCAGGCGTCGGCCGACGGGTTCGTTACGCTCTCATCAACGATTACACCTTTGCAGTTTTTATTCACACTGGCGGCGGCGGTCACGGCATGGCCCTCGTTCGAAGGTCACGGTCTGCATGATGAACCGAAGCTCATCTCGCAATCGGTGCATCTGCACGAGGTGCCGACCAAGATCATCAAGGTCACCAAGACGGTAGCTATCAAGGTTCCCGTACCGTATCCCGTTAAGGTGAGTAGTCGTGGCTTCATGGAAAACGAAAGTTCACCAATTAACGGCTCGAAAGTGACGGCCGGCTTTGCGAATTCACTTGTCCTTATCTATGGTTAATTGAGCTACTTGGAGAGTAAAAGTGGTTATCAAAGAATATACGTTCGTTATGTACGTGTGAAAACATGAAACAATTAGCGTGTGAAAGAGGAAATTATTAACCCGCGACTTTTTACGATTTTGCATCGAAATATTCGCGAGACATGAAACCTGAAATTGGCGGAAAAATATTTGAAGAACTATTTTTTTCTTGATCAAACGTCAGTGCCGCGAGATGCGTGAATATTTAAATAGAGAAAATAATCCACGACACTTACATTTTATGAAATCTAATTGCACCATTAAGTTTAAAATTATTCAAATTTCGCTTAAGGTTATTAGAATTTCGAGATTCGATATTTTAGCAAACGCGATTAATGGTGTCAATATCGGATATCCGATTGCTCGGTCGTTGTGAAAGTTATTAGAATACTTGAATATCATGATTAATATTTCGAAATGAAAGATATAATTAGCTAATGTAAAGTTAGTTGCTGCAGAAATCAATAATAAACGACAGGTGGGTGTTACTCGCAATTTTTGATTCCAGGTAATCGGATAATTTACTTTCATTTTTATTTCAGGTTATTTCAGGTAATATACATATAATACTGGATATTTTCTGTATACATATACATATATGCTCCGTGATATGTAAATAACATCCTGTATATACTGCATATATATTTTACATGAAGTGGATATACATTACGATATACAGGCCTGACGTAAATCGTGTCAATTACCATGTACTTGTAGTTTAGATCAATATGAAAAAAAATCCTCTACCGTTTTGCATATAATCATGCAAAATTTTGAATTAATTATTGAAAATGGTCACAGACACAGAGACTTCTTTAATTAATAACTCCAAAATTTGCATGGTTATTTGTAAAATGGTAAAGAACTTCTTTGTTCAGAATGGCCTAATCCACAAATATATGACAGATACGTACGGCTTGCGTTAGATATCCTGTATAGTAAGTACATACAGTGATGTATTTAATATCTATATACCTCGCATTATATAGGGTGTACGAAAAATTTCGAAACCCCTTGACATTTCGGGAAATAAGCATTTTTGAAAAGAATCTTCCATACAAAAATTGTCAAGTTTTAAGTGGTACATTAGATGCACCAGTTAAAATGATACAACTTTCGAAACATTTGGAACACTTTTTGAAAAGATTGATTTTCCGAAATATTAGAGTTCCGATACTTTTCGTACACCTGGTATATATCGATCGTATATTCATGTATATAGATATACATGTATATAGATGTATATAGATGTACATGTTTTGTAATATACTTAAATATATGTTGTATGCATGTTATATGTACATCTGTTAGTTAGAAAGTTTACCACAGTGCACCACAGATGTACATACATTGTACATCTAATATGTACCAATGTACATACGTAGAATTTGCAATGTATATCAAAATGTTTTGTGGATACTTGAAGATTACGTACTCAAATTTCTCAGGTGTTCCTGAGCGCCTGAGTATCAATTTAAAAGTTTCTATGGCACCTAAGTAGCGTGATAAATGTTTAGATTATCTCAGAAAAATGATAAAAATAGGAAGCTATGAAAAATTGGAAAACTATAAAAAATAGAAAAATAAAAGATAAAATCAGATCTGATGCAAAAGCAATTGTTGCGAAAATAAATAACAATTAGTAAATATATATTATCTGTGATTTTTTGTCTCAAATTTACGGAAGGGGAGAAAAAGATATAAGGAGAGAAAAATATCTAAAAATGAGAAAAATATTTGTCCGGTGTGTAATAACTGATAACTTAAATCTTAAACTGATTAACTCAAATCTTAAGTTCTCTTATTTGAATCTAAATTCTCTTATAATTAAATTTTACTTTACTTTAATTACGTTATATTTAAATATTTTTATTTAAATTTCAAGAAAATGTGTATCTTCGCATTTGACGAAAATTCTTCTCAATATAAAAACAATATTAACGTAAATAAATACACGATTAATACTCGTCGAATGAATATTTTCTATTCTCCAGATGTTTTCGCTCTCGGTGTATCCAAGATACCCGGCTGATATCCGTGCACTTGGCCACTCGGATAACAACTGGGTCACCAAGATATAGAAATTGCTCGGTTCGTACCGACTAAGCGTGACGCTTTCGAACGCACCGCAAAAGAAAAGCGACGGCAGCTTCACCGTTTTGCTCATCTAACCGCGACCGCGATCGCGTCCCTCTCTCCGTTTCAGGTGCCCCATCACATTCCGTTTCCGGTGCCGGTGAAACATCCCGTGGCGGTTCCGGTGCCGCAGATAGTGAAAGTGCCGCAGCACGTGCCCGTGCCGGTGGAGAAGCCGGTGCCGGTGGAGCTGCACCAGCAGGTACCGCTGGTGGTGTCCAAGCCGGTGCCGATACCGCATCCAATCCCGGTGCCGCATCCGATCACGCTCACCAAGCCGGTCTTCATTCCGGTGCCGAAGACGATCCCGATCCCGCAATCAGCCCACGACAACGTCGGAGGCGGCGGCGTCAGCGGGGACGACGAACACGTCGGCCACGAGACTAACTACGGTAGCTACACCGTGAACGTTCCGGGTCATGGAGCGGTGTACGATCAGCGGGGCGACGATCAGGCGCATTTTCAACCCTCCCAGCCCGACTACTCGGGTCATTAACTTTCGAAGTGTGACGAACAGAGAGACGGGTCGGCGGGCGATCGGATGACGACGAGGGAGCGGCGGGTCCGAAAGAAGCGACGGCAATCATTGGCGAGGTTACGAGCTGATCGTCTCGAAAGCGGTCCGAGCGAAACGTCAAAATGCGAGTCGAGTAGGTGCGCGACAGCGACCGCTTCTCTTGGAAACTTGACTCGCGCCGCTTTCGTGATCGATCGCTCGCCAAGTGGCGTCGTCCTTCGCAGTTGTATCGGATAGTCCGGACAGCGCCGACTTCGTCGGCGATCTGGGAGAGAGGAGAGGAGAGAGCGCGAGAGAGAAAGAGAAAGGAGGATAAGGAAAGGGGTGTGGAAAATTCGATAGAGAGTTAATTTAGTGTGTAAAATCGGGAGGGACGATAACGGAAGTCGCGGAGACAGCGATCGAAATGCGCGAGGATTTCGTGGGCGAATTTTTTGCCAGTCGCAGTCCGCAAAGTCGTGCGACTCCTTCGAAATCACGTATTACACTTTTAATCTGAACATTTTCATCCGTAAATCTCAGAGATCGCGATCGGAACACGCGAGGATTTTATAAACGAGTCTTCGTTTGAATTAGCGATGCAAGAATTGTATCATGCGTCGGCGCGTTTAGCGCTAAACGCGCCGACGGGACGCGGTCTGCGATTTCCTTATCGCCGCGAATGAAATTTTCAATCTGAAAACTTTCCAATCCACGAAGATCGTACGACGAGTACTTCGTTTTCTCGACGACCGTCATATTCCTGTCAGCGCGACTTTAAAATCTAGGAGCTTTCAGCGGATGCTAAAAAGTCACATGTGTGACACGCATACACATATTTTTATGTATATAGACAAGCAAGTTTTCCCCGAGAGGAATGTTGAGTTTTTGTTTGCGATATTGCGATGTTGAACTGTTGATGTTGCGATCGTTTTCTAATAAAAAACGTCTTCACACACTGCAATCGCGTGTCTTCCTTTCCCCACGTGTTCCTCAGCCTCTCCTCGGTACCGTTGTCGTTTCGTTGTTCGCCCGAAGCATCCCGTGCATCCGCGAGTACGATTGCGATACCTCCTGGGGCAGCTGCGCCTCGGACATTCGCTTCTTGTCCGACGGGAATCGCTTACATATCGCGTACGCCGGGCACATCTCGACCGGTATGCGCGCCGCATGCAAATCCCATTAATCGCGTGCGCTTAAAATGTCCCCGTTCTCCGTTTAATGAACGTTTCACCGCAATCATGTAACCGCTTCTCTCATGACGCGACCTTACATTTCGCTTTCGCGCTCACGAATTAAGCGCGCGATCCCGATCGCGCGAATCCCCGCCCAGAAATTATCGCTGCTCCAAAAACGACTATATTTCGCTCGATCGGGCCCGCTGCTTGCGCAACGCGCGTCGTTGGTCGCTCACATCTCTCTCGCGCGCGTTTTATCCATTCCACATATTTCCCCATTCTGCGTGTTTGTAAACCCACAGAAATATCAAGTGCTACTTAATTAGTATCCGTTAATTACAATTATTTCTTGTCAAAAGACGAGTCGAAAAATCTCTATTTTCTTTGCAAGAATTAACAAAATAGTAATTATTAAGGGAATTTAAAAAACAAATTTATATTAATATATAATCAATATTATAATATAGAATATATAGTATATATAGTATATATAATATTAATATTATATTAATATTATATAATTAATATATTATAGCATTATAGTATTAATTATGATAGATATGTACTGGAAATTTTTTATTTGTAAACCATGAGCCAGACAAGATATGTGATGTGGGTTTATATAAAAGGCGGCGCTGATTGGCTGAATTTTATGCAATAACTAATCACTATTTCATCAAAGTGTTAATAGTCGATACTTAAATCTCGTCTCACATGAGGTACTAAAATTTGAATTCAGAGTTAGATCCAAGCTTTTCAGTTGAATTACATTACACGATACGCGTGACGTTATATTTCCACAGAAAAGAAATAGTCTGAAATCAACGATAAATATTCTCCCACATAAGCAAAAATATTATAATATTGTCAGCAGATCATTAGTCTTGAATTGAATGCAAGTAATACTTACATCAATACTAATTCAATCGAATCGAGACTAAAGATCTTCCAAGAAGATTATAATATTCTTGCTTGTACACGAGAATATCTATCATTGATTTAAGACTAACCTTTTCCGTGTGCGATCGCTGAAAAACCGAAATCGAACTCTGAATTCAAATCCGAGTTTCAAGTTAACTACTGCTGACCCCAGTATCGGCCGGAGAAAATGGCCGGGAATGTTTCGAATAGATTTTTAACGATGAATATCGCTGTGTAATTATAGCGAGCGCTAATTGAAAACGTTGTAGCTGCGACGGATGAGAACGAGACGGAGGAGAAGGACAAGCCGCTGCCGCGTTCCGTACGAAAAACTTTATTTCGATGATGAACAATCGGTACAGTGAGATTACAGGTGGAAACATACGCGGAGCTAAAGGTAGTCACAGGTGACGATCGGAAGCACCCGATCGTGATTCGTGGTAACGTCTTTTCGCGCGGTGGCCGGAGGACGCTCTCCTCCTGCTCGTGACACTTCACCGGTCGCGGGACGAAGAGCCGACGAGAGGAAACCGGCCCGGGGAACGAGAGGAGGAGGAGGGGGAATAGGAAGAAGAAGTAGACGGGGAGAAACGCGGATTCGTCGATAGAGAATCGTCGAAAGCCGCGGGAGATCGTCCGTGAATGATCGCGAGAACGGAAGCACTCGACAACACCCGGGCGCTAGTCGTCGGTCGGTCGGTTTTCCGCGATCCTCCTCCGGGCACTCTCCTCCCTCGAGAAGGATCCCTTCCCATGGGGAAGAGGAACGCGGCTTGGCATCTCGCGGCGACGGTGAGGTCGTCGGGGATGAGCGTCGCTCAGGATCCGCGATTCGCGTCGCTCCTGGAATTACCAGCCGGAGTAGCCGCCGTAGCTGCCGTAGCCGCTGTAACCGCCGTAGCCGCTGTAGCCGCTGTATCCGCCGTAAAGACCGTTGTAACCGAGGCCGGAGTGCACCTTCTCGACGACGAGCGGCTGCGCGACCGGCACCGGCACGTGCTTCACCACGGGCACGGCGTACGGCTGCGGCACTTTGACGGCGTACGGCGCTGGAACCGGGACCTTGACGGGCACGCTGTATGGCACGGGCACCGGGCGGTCTACCGGTACCGGGACGTGCTTCGTCACTTCCACTGGGTAGGGCTTCGGCACTTGCACCGGGTAAGGACGGTCGACCGGCACGGCGTACGGCACCTGGATGGAGAATTGCGCTGATCAGACACGAGAAAATGCTTACTGTGCGTTCAATTAAGCTGTACTCGTAGTCAAGTATTTCGTGAGTTTGCGTACATCCGCAACTACATTGTAGATTCATAATAAGCACATAATTGATTCAGAGTATATTAAGAGGGTTAGTATTTTAATAAAGAAGAAAAATGTTAAAATAAAACAAACTTTTGTTTGCTCATTCGAATTAGCCGAATTTAAGTTCTTCTCGATAAAGTCTATAATATCCTTGGAAAGACAATCAATTCTTCTATCGAGTACATAATAATGAGCTTTTGTAATATTCGTGATGAGTATGTTTATAGTTATTGCAATTTGCGCGCGAGAGCCCTTAAGATCGTGGTATTCGGATAAATATAAGCAGCGAGATCTGAGCACGCACGGATTCGGCGCGTTAAACGGTCTCGACGTCGATCGTGTTAAAAATAAATAACGTTGCGAAAATAGAAATAAATTACGGAAAGAGATAAATGTGAATATATAGAAATAAAAATAGAATAAATACCCAAATATAAAGAAAGAAAGTTAAAGATAATTATAAATGGAAAAGTTACATCGAAATTCCAATATATTACATCTCAATATTAAATGTATTCTATATCGGGAAACATGGATGGTTGTTTTCTTCGCTTGTAATGAGAAGAAATTTTTGAAAAAAATTATTCTTCGACCGTGAGAAGAATAGTCGAAGAACTGTGGCTGGTCAATTTGCGTGCCACTTGCGTTTTTCTGCGTGCCATGGGCCCTGCAATTTTTTTAGAGATCGACGAACTGTCAAAACACGACAGAATAAACGACAGCGATCTCTTTTGCGATCGACGTATGAGAAGCATTTCTCAACGTTTCTATATATATATTTTAACCTTCTACCTGTGAATGTTTTAAATGAAACACTGTCGGTAAATATCGGCGAGACGGGAATCTAACTAGCACGAGCCAGATACAGAATCGATAATGCCGGAGAGAGAGGAGAAGGACTAAGAGTTGCAGAAGCCGAAGGATATATACTGCGCAGGAACACGTCGGTCCGCATCGAGGCCACTTTCGATCTTTGTAACTTGAGGCGGATTTAATGCCGAGAGCGAGAAAAAGAGAGGAAAAAGCGTGGGATCTCTCTCCTTCTCTCCCGAGTCAAGCCGAAGTATTCGCGACCTTTGGGTTCAGCGAAGCGTGATTAGGAGCGCGAGATCTTCGATACATCGCGGTCGCTATTGCGAATCAGTCACCTCGATTCAGATATATACAATTCGCAACAATTCGCGACGAAGCCTTACCCACGCGAATCTCGATAAAAAAAAACCCCGGCGTCTTTCGCGTCTTCTAATACCAGCGGCGGGATATCTAGCGTTTTCCAGCCTGAGGCGCAGACGGACGGACGGATAACACTCCTCTCGGATCGATCGATCGGTCGATAGATCTCGCCGCCTCGGGAAAAACCGAGCGTCGCATGAAGCCATTACTTCTCCCGTCGAGTCGCGATCTGCTAATTGCCGCGTTTTCTTCTAATCGCCGCGGCTTCCAGTAAATCGACTCTCGACGGAGCGCGGATTCCTCCGTTCATTTTTTCCTACCTCCCCCTGCCGCCAGCCCCCGCTGCTCCCTTCGCCCTCGAGAAACGAGAAAATGAGAAACGCGCCCGCTAACGACGCTCCCGGCGCGTTTATGTTACGCGTAAAGATCACGAAATGCCGCGGCGTTGTACCTTAACGGGCACCGGGACGTGTTTCTCGACGGGCACGGCGACCGGTTGCGGCACGGGTACGGCCACTTCCTTCGTCAGGACGGTGGAGACGCCGTGGCTAACGCCGATCGGAAGCGACGAGTAGGTGCTGAGACCCAATCCACCGAGACCCAATCCACTGTAGCCGCTGTAGCCGCCGTAACCGCCGTAGCCGCCGTAGCCCAACGCGCTGTAGAGGCCTCGCTTCTCTTTCTTCGCGTCTGTCTTCACATCGCTGTTCTTCGCATCCTCCGCGAAGGCGAGTGCCACCAGGCCGAACAGAAGGATCAGCTGCGAGCAGATATAAACGAACAGGTAAACAGCCGAATGGACAGGCGGATGTGGAGAAATACGATTGGACAGGTAGACAGATAGGTAAATAAATAAATAAATGGATAAATACGCAGGTGGATAATTAGCTAGATGGATCTATGAAGATTGAAGTAAAATCAATATAAGCATGCAAACAGGTGGATAAACGGACGAATGAATAGGTAAATGTACAGATAGAGACAAAGAGGTGGATGAATAAATAGAGAGAAAATCAAATAAGGGTAGACGCGTGTAAACAGGTATGTAAGTAGATAAATAAATCGGTAAATATAGATAGGTAAATAGGTAGATGGATAAATAAAAAAAATTCGTGAAACGGAGATCGACGTACATAGGCGTTCCGAAATCATAGTCGACGGATAGAGTAGCACTTAATTGACCAATCAGAACAAAAAGAGCAGAGATTTCTTCATCACGATTGATTAATTCAACGCTACCCTACCCGTCGATAAATAGGTAGATACGCAGATAAGTAAATAGGTAAACAGGTACAGATGGATTAAGCCAGATAGGTAAGTAAGGGAAAAATGAAGCGAACGCAGACATATAAACTGATAGACAGGGACAGACAAATGAAGAAATAGATACAGAGACACATGAACATGCCGATAGACGGCTGGAAAAAAAGAAATCTAACAATGTCGTCGCGTAAACACTTGATTTGTCACGAAGACAGGTCTCGCGGTTCGCGGAGAGAATAGAGATAAATCTCTTATTCGCCGTCACGCACGCGCTGCCCCGGCTTGAGACACGCTACAACCGGACAACGTTAATTAATCCGATGTTAATCGAACGAGAACTCTGGGTCTATCTAGAACTGCGTCGCACGAGGTGGACGAGGAGAGCGAGTTTGGCTACGATCACGAATCGAGCAACGTCAGCGACTAACGTCGCTCCCGGTGTTCTTCGCGGCAACGTCTCCGTCGCTTCACCCTCGCGAGAGCACGATCGCTCCCTCTCTCTCTCTCTCTCTTTCTTTTTCTCCCCTTCCAGAGATCGTTACTACAAGATCCTCTGTAACGATTCTCTTTCTCCTTCTCCTCCTCCTCGTCCTTCGTGAACGATACCGATGCAGCGCGAGAAGGAACCAATCAATACCTTCGTATTCATGATGCTGCGCGAGTTTGCCGGACTCGTTGTGTTCGTCGTGTCCGCGACTGATGAGTACGATGAAGATCCCCCTGCTTTTATACCCGGTGGGACTCGCCCGAGTCGAAAACCCTCAAGGAGAGACCGGCAAAGAGAGCGAGGTGGTGGGCGCGACGGCGACAACGACGGCAAACGGCGACGGTACGGCGCGGGCCCCGGCGAAACACGGTTAGGTGAAAAGAAACCGGGCCCCGCGCGCGCAAAACGAGTAGGGGCCTGCCGAAAAACTCGCGGGCCACTCTTCTCACCGTGCGGCGAGAGAATCGTGCGCGCTCTTGCGAAAGAATCAACCGCTGGCATCGTCGCCTCGCGGTTATTCCGAAGCCGAAAGATCCACGGCGGCGCTCAACCATGGTCTACGAGAAATCACACGGCGGACAAAGGCCCGTTCAATTCGCAGGTATATTCGGCGATTTCACGCGTTTCGCGGGACAATCGCACGTAGAGATTCGCCCGCGTCCGTTGGAAAATGCGCGCGATCTCACGGGCACTTGGAATTCCGAGCGCGAAGACTGAGCGCACGTCTAATCTAGGTTTGGCAAATTATCCGTGCACACAGACGAGGAGGTTTCTTTGGATTTAATATACGCGACTTGGGTTTGTTTAATGTAAACAATATAATTTAATGTCCGATATCGTATTTGTATGAATATGATATTATTTGGAAGTAAATTGTATGTTAAACTGACACATTTATAATGTCAAATGTAATAAATATTTTTGTACGAAAAAAGATATTACTTATCATTTCCTTTTCATTATGCTCATTCTTAGAATGTTGTTAGTGGTTTTGCGGGAATCGTCTTGATTGTGTCCCATTTAATTGATTCAAACAATATTATATTTAGAATACGTGTTTTCCACTGACGGAACTCGAACTCGGAATCTTAAGTCGCCTACTTTACGTATTACACCACTTCTACATTCTAATTATACGTGTATTTTGCACTGTCTAAATTTCAAGATGACGACCTTTATTGAAAATAATTGACAAAATTTGTTTGTAAATTTTAACATACAAAATATGTCACTAGTGATATTCAATAAAATTAACGCTCATAATATATTAATCGACACTGAAGTATGAAATGTGTTATTTTAACATTTTTACATGTTGAATATCGAGAGAGCTTAGCATAAAATATTGAGATAACATAAACACAATATGTTAAATTAACACATAGTTATGTTAAACATTTAACAGAAAGATTTTAACAGGGACCGATTTTAAGACAAGTACAAAACGTTTTTTACTATCTATTTATACGAATCTTTTAATTTATCTATCTACATGTATCTGTCCTCTTCTACTTACTTATATGTTAATTAATTTGTCCATCTATCTATTGTTATGTTTATTTATTTATCTGTCTATTTAACTATCTATCTGCTATTTAGCTATCTTCCCCAACTATTCACTTATCTAGCTATCTAGTTTTTTATCTGTTCGTGTGTTTGTTTTACATAAATATTCACGAATCTCTTTCCTAACAAAGATGTGAGACCTCGAACTCGAATGTGCCAAAGCGTTGAAGCCTCTTTTCAGCGATGTTGATTGGCTGTGTGTCAAAATTTCAATTGTTACGAGTCGTTGCTTAACTTCACTCGCGGAAGTTACGCGTTTTGACAGTAAAAGACAGTAACGGAAATATCATTTCTTTTCGTCGAAATTTTGTCTTATGTCTATTTACATACATTACATACATTTAGTTACATGAACTCAGATTTTTTTCCACATAATAGCAATAATGTCTATAATGCGCGTCTATATTAACCTAATATGTAAAAATACATAATTATAATAATCATATTTCTCGTCTACATTTCTATTGCTTATTTTGTCTCGCAAAACGTCCCTTACACTAGGCGTCGCTAATTGAGCCGGTTCAATCGTCGGATCTTTGTCTCGCGATCGCGTGGAATCGTACCTTCCATCACCCGATTACGCAATCGCGCGCTTTCAGTCAATCTTATAATTGAAAATCCGCAATCGAGTCGAGAAATAAATGAAGATTTAGTTCTCGGCAATAAACGTCTACGAGTGAAATTACGTCGTAAGTCGGAGTTCAACGCGTTCGTTATGTGAAAAAGAGCGACACGGAGAGAAAGAGAAGGAGAGAGAGAGAGAGAGAGAGAGAGAGAAAAGTCTTCTTCGCGAAAAATCGAGGATATCGATGGCGCTAATTAAAAAGCGATAACGACTGGATCTATTGATCCGATTTGAATCAAGTATCTACGCGAGCTCCGAATACAAAGGCAAAGCCGTCGTTTGAATGAACTCTCGGCGTGAATTACTTAATTACTTGACAGAAATGACACAACAATGTTACGCGCCTTGCACACACTCGGCTACCTCTCGCTCGTAAATCATCGCGTCGTTTATTATCACGTAACGAGACTGCGTCTTATTTTCTTCTCGAAGCCGGCGAGGAAGGACCGACAGGCGTGAGACACCGGTCGGGTTCGATCAAGTGCCATAAATTTCAGAGAAAAATCGCGGGACGAGCTGGCGATTCCACATAGAGAGAAGGATCCGCGCAAAGTCGGCAAACGCGCGCTTCACTTTGCGATCTGATATAGCTTTTCCGACTTTTAAAAGGCAAACCAACAATTTTTTTAATATTGATCAAACATAAAAGAATTAAATAGCCAATGAGGGGTTTAATCGCAGTTAATTTTGTACAATTGTTTAATTCTCAAATCTCAACAAGATATTAAATGGTTATCTTATTTATTTAACTTTATTTATTTTGTTTTATTTTATTTTATTTTATTTTATTTTATTTTATTACGAATGAAAGGTGAGACATTAACAAATAAATTGCCTTACTTAAATATTAAAATATGTAGAGAAGATGATATCATAGCCTCATTGAAGGCGAAAAAACATGATCATTGATGTTTTAATATAAAATATTTTTAATATATACGATATATTGAAAATGCGATTTACTCATTTATAATTATTTTTATGTTTCCTTCTTCCCATTCTCTTCTTACATTCATTTTCAAGAGTGTACATTTATTCTCCTTCTGAAATTTACTTGCATTTTTGCAACATTATTTATTTTTAATATAATTCATGTCAAGGACATCTGACGCGACGGTCCCGCGATTCGTGATTCGCGCTCGCGAATCAGAAATTCTTTCCTAAGATTCACCATCACGTCGCACGTGACGAAACGTCCGATGACTCTCTAGGCCGTGTGTTTTTCTTTGTCTCATGCTTTTCGCGAGACGCTCAACAGGGCGGAGTACGAAGGAGAGAGTGAGAGAGAGAGAGACCGGGGCCGCGGCCGGTCGGCTCCTCTTTCCACGGGAGAACCGTGCTATTACCGAAAGTGGTTCGCGTTTTGGGCAACTTCGCGCAATTTCGCCCGTTAATTGGCCCACCTGTCCGGTTCCAGTTCCAGAAAACGTCGAGCGTGACGCGGCATCGTTAATATATATCCTTCTTGACGCTCTCATAGACGAGGGGGCGCAGCTGTTTCAGTCGGCTCGTTGTCGAAAATTAAGTATTACGGCACCAGTTCGCTTGTCATCGTTACGACGTCGAGCGTCGTAACGAGGACTCGCAGAGCAAGACGACACGCATATATACGCACACGGCAGATATTTCAAAAAATCCACATTTATCGGATGACGCAACACACGCGAAGACGGCCGCTCTGACGGTCGCGATTTTGACGCAAAACTCTCATTTTCGAGCAACCGTGAAAAAAGTCATTTAAATAATTAAAATCTTATAAATCACTCTAATGAGTCGATGAAATTCAAAAGCGATCCGGGTATTTTCGTCGCCTATCCGAGAAAGAAAGAGAGAGAGAGAGAGAGAGAGGAAGAGAGAAAGGGATAAAAAAAACGCCGAATGCTGTCTGCGATCTCGTTACATAAAATACGCACGGATAAAACGCGGACGATCTGGCACGGTAGCTAATCTCGATGCCGCCGGCTGCATAACTTATGGGTTTATTTGCGAAACTGGCGAACGCAGACGAGCGTTTATAAGCTATTAAGTCATTAATCGGGCCTCTATTCGAAACAAGTTCAGACGCACGGCTATCGCGAACGGGTCGATCGGTGATTCACGTTCGCGAGACCGCGCGCCGGTTCCGTGACGGACAAACGGATCATCGAATTCAAATTCGATAAATGAAACATCACGACGGAAATTATGGAGGAATGTCTGTTCGGTGGAACACCTCGTAATCGATACGAGTCGCTTTACTTCCGCTGGATCGCTAATTAGCGACAGCCAGAGGGAGAGGGAGATAATATATTTAAATGGTCATATATTCTCGCTTTCTTTCGCCTGTCTCTAGTTTATTATACTTGCAACTCGCAAATTATTGCCGATTATTTGCAAGACACACTCAATAGTCTTTCGTCTGTTTCCTCTTACTTATCTCGTCCACGCGGATCCTCCGCACCGAATTGACGGGAACGTTTAACATTCCTTAGAAGCGGTCAGCCTTCGGCTCCCCGAAATTCTAAAATGTGGTGTCGCCCACGTAAAAAGCAATTAAATGCGGAATGTGAAATTTCGCTATTTCTTTGCTCTCCGGAGAGGCTCCTCCGGCCGCGGTAATCCCTGGAGGATATCTGATCGCTCGTAACTCACGACGCTTCTTTTTATCTCTCCCTCTTTTTTTCTCACTTGGTGTCGCACGGTATATACAAATAAATCGTTTGCGTCACACGCGCTCTCATCGACATTTTTATAGTGATTCGATTCGATCCCGCTTTCAGCACGGCTCGGCGGGGCGCGACGACGTAGAAGTCGTGTGAATTTTTTGCGCGCGGCGATAAAAAAAAGAGGCCTCGTCGATATTACGGTCTCGATCAAAAGCTGTCGGCGCGGCCGTTCGCGTCGAATCGTTAATATGAATATCGCCGGACACGCTAGCTTGATTCTACGATCGTCGTGAAATTCGACGACGCGAGATGCATTTTACGAGCGCCGACGACCTTGTCGCACTCGCTCTCTCCTTCGCGGTTCTTCGACCGGAAATTCGTGAAAT